CGCCGGTTTCTAACATTCCCCTTCGCCATTCCATCGTATTCGTGCAGTCATCAGGTGACCCCTGCCATTGTAATTGAGATAGCAATTTTGCTGCTGAATGTATACCTTTGTGCTTTTGTTGTAGGCTTCGTTTGGATTGGCTTTGGGTTGCATGTATAAAATGTACAATTCATAAGGTAGTTTGTTTTCTTTATCTTACTAACAAAGGGGCTGATTTGGTGATTTACTTGTGAGGACGATTAGTGCCCTTTTTTGGTTTTGGTGGGTTCAATTCATTGTTCCTTGAAAGTTTGTCTTCTACGGATTTTCTTCTTTTGAGTCAATTCTGTCCATTATGATTTCCAGATGTATCTGGACATGTTAGTCTTCTTTCTAGGGTAAATGTAGGTCATTGGGATTACTCTTATTCACTAGAAAAAATTTATATAAATTATAAATTTTTAGTCATTACTAAAACATAAATGTAACCAACATGTTACATTTAGTCACTCTCCTTCCATTGGAAACGAAAACTAACGGGGAGAGTGACTAAATGTGATATGTTTTAGTAATTCGAGTGATCAAAATTGATATTAATTTTTTCTAATTACTAAATATGAAATGATTTAGTAATCTTAGTGATCAAATGTGATATTTACCCTTAACTTCAAGGTATACAAAACTAATGAATGCCAGAAGCAGAATTGAAGCCTACTAGACTACGATGTAACTAGAGCTGTCAAAAGGTAACCCGACCCGAGTAACCCGCCCGATCAACCCGCCCCGCAACCCGCCCGCAACCCGATTTGACTAAAAGTCAATGACCCGTAACCCGCCCGACCCGCAACCCGATCGACCCGCAACTCGGCCGACCCGCAACCCGACCAACCCGCAACCCGACTAACCCGAACCCGTAACCCGACCAACCCGCAGCCCGACTATAATAGAAGGAATTCGATGAAGATAAACCAAAAGTTGACATTTGAAATTCTAGTTCACTAAAATCTGATCATTACATCATCAATTATTAACTTAGTATAATAATATACATCATCAACCTATCAACGCATATAATATCATCAAATATTTATTTAGATACATCATCAACCTAACAGTGCGCATAACATTATAAAATATTAATTTAGCATAATAAGATAATGGGTTAGTCTAATGGGTTAGGGTATAAGGTATTAATGGTTTAACAATTATTAGTCAAATCATAACTAATAAGATCAACTTTTCTTATTAACACATGTTCATCAATCAGAATTCAAATCATTAGGGGTTTAGGGTAAAGGTTATAGAGTCGACTTATAGGGTATATGGTTAGGGTATAAAGTCTTAATGATTTGACCATGGTTAGTCAAAATCATAACTAATAAGATCAACTTTTCTTATTAACATATGTTCATGAATCAAACCAGTAGGGGTTTAGGTTATAGGTTATAGAGTCGACTTGTAGGTTATATGGTTAGAGTATATGGTATTAATGGCTTGGCCATGATTAGTCAAATCATAACTAATAAGATCAAGATTTCTTATTAATATATGTTCATGAATCCACTACAAGAAAACCAGCCTATAGAAGCAAATAATTAGAGGCAATTGTTGTAGTGGTCTCTATAGGTAAGGTTTAGGGACAAATATATTATTTGTCTCAATATGTGAATTTTTTTGTCTTTACAGGCAAATCTAATAGTCTTTAGAGATAATTACAAATGTTGCTTATAGTTATGCCATATAGAGACAAATTTAATAGTCTTTAGATGCAAATATAAATGCTCCATACATATATATATATATATATATATATATATATATATATCTTATAAACGCAAATATAATAGTATCTAGCACTACAGAAAAATTGGTCTCTAGTCACGGTAATTTATTCACGGGGATGTTTGTCGTATTAAGAAGTACACTAACAGTCACTAGAAAAAATACAGTAATTAATGGTATAATTTTAGTGACGGGAATTAGTTGATCTATTTTTCAAGTTTCATTTCCCATAACTAATGGTTAATCACCGTTAATTACCGTAAACAATGTGCACTTTACCTTTAAAAAAAACGTTTCCTAAAATCTAAGAGGGAAATCTCAAATTTCCATCCTCCTTTAGTTTTGGCTCCAAGACTAGAGAAAATTTCCCGCTTTTTTTTCAACAAAAATTTTGCCTTCCCCCCATTTTTACCAAAATTTTCGTATAAGGAAAACCATTTGGTTTGAGTTTTGGCTCCAAACTCACCCCAACGGAGAAAATTCTCCCCGCCCTTTATTCCAAAACTTTTGTATTCCCCCATTACTTTGTCTTTGCTACTTTTCTATTACAACAAAAACTAAAACAGATATAAATCCCTAACTTCTCTTTCGTGTTCTCAATCGTCTGTTCTTCTTCAGTGAGAAATTGAGCCAAACCCGCCGCCGCACCGCACCTCCGCCTCTTCTCAGTCGGTTCCTCTTCATTGTCCAAACATTCCTACCTCATTTGATGTCAAAACCCCTATCTCTTCCCCCATCTTTCACCCATTTCATGAACTCCCAGCCCCCATAGACCCCCCACCCCCACCCTATCAGCGTCCTCCACTTATCGGTTCATCCATCCTATATTCGAATACCAATCCAACGCGTCAACTAAACCATGAAGCTGGCAAGTTCAGGAGGTATCATGTATTCATGTCCTTATCCGCCCTACTTCTTTCACCTTTTGTTTAGTCGAATCTTCTCACTTCAAGATTCTTACTTACGTTTCTTCATATTTATGAAGTTTGTGTTGGTTTAGCATTGATTCCATGCATCAATTGTGAATTTTGGATTAAAATTTTGGATATGAGGTGATTCTACGGTTTGAAATCAAACACATCGGGGACTTTTCAGTTTTAACCGAATTCAACCTTGTTCAGATTGAACTTGCTTTTGATTCTTTATCAGGATTTCTCACACCTTGGGAAGCTCAATTTGTGCTTATTTGCTTTATTGGTTGTTGAATTCGAAAACTGGGGCTGGTTGAAACATACTGAACGATTGTCCCTTAGTTGCTTTGCAGGTATGGAGTAGTAACTCTGCTGGGGATTGAGAAAAGGACCCTCCAAAGAGATCTAATGAAACCTGCTTCATTGGCTCTAGTATTTCATTGGCTCTTGTAAGTTTAGGATGCACTGCATTAAGTGTTGTCTCTGTTTCCTTAACTATATATATTAAATTGAAAAGTGGCTCTTTTAAGTGGTCTCTGTTGCCGGATGAGATTTGTTGATGATGTTAGGTTTTAGTAGGTTTGGTAAATTGTGTTGCTTGTTTGGAACTGACCATTAATAGCAAACTGAATTCCTGGACTCTAGCTCACTGGATATCTCTGCCGGATCTAGTGTTTCTGAAAGATGAGAAAGAACTAGCTCTTTTAGCTATTGGAAGCATTATTTTATCCCACATTGTTGTAAGTTCTGCATGTTTCATTGTAGGCACTCACAGAGGCATTTTTGCTAGCTGATCTGGAATGAGACACTGTCAGAGCTAGATTGGTATTTACAGATGCTTGTGCTATGCATCTACTTAGTTGTATCTCTGTTAATAGTGCAGTGGTCTCTTAGAGGTGTCTACTTATTGAATAGCAGTCTCGGTATGGAATCTGCTGATGAACATTGAGACTCCTTGGCGCTGCTAATACTAATGATCAATGGAAACATCTTGAAGTGTTTGGTGCCAGCTCATCTAGAGCGTTTTGGTTTAGAGTAGAAGGCTATTTATCATGCGAGACACGCAGATTGGTACAACAATTGATACCTTATTTAATTTGATGGGTAAATGCCACATTTGGTCACTGAGATTACTAAATCGTATCATGTTTAGTCACTAGAAAAATTTAATATCAATTTTGGTCACTCGAATTACTGAAACAGGTCACATTTAGTCACTCTCCCGTTAGCCTCCGTCCAACTCCGGTCACTCGAATTACTGAAACATGTCACATTTAGTCACTCGAATTACTGAAACATGTCACATTTAGTCACTCTCCCATTAGTTTCCGTCCAACTCCATTAATGAATTTGGACGGAAACTGACGGGAGACTGACTAAATGTGACCTGTTTCGATAATTCAAGTGACCAAAATTGATATTAAATTTTTCGAGTGACTAAACATGACACAATTTAGTAATCTCAGTGATCAAATGTGGCATTTACCCTTAATTTGATTCAGTTTAAACTATGTTTCAGTGTTCAAATTATGGAGGATGGAATAAAATCGGTAGATGCAAATTGTTTGGGAGATTTCCACTATAACATGAATTGCATTGGAATTCTTTTACAGTGCGGCAATTGTGTTGATATTTGTTTTATTGGCACTAATCTTATAATTTCATGCGCATATTAATGTTATAATTCCATACTTATATTAATAGACAAAATATTGTGATTTGATAATTAGTTATAGTAGAATATCGTGATCAATTGTTAATATATAGACATGGGTGAACCAATCAAATAATGTGACTAATGTTTGACATCTAATCATGGGAAATGATTTTGTCATGGCAAATACTGTATAAACAGGTGTACTTCCCGTCTCTAAATGAGATTTTTTGGATGTTGTGTGTGACAAAATTTGGTATTAGTAAAGGGGCTCCCTGTGATTAATTGGTACAAATTATATGTTATCGAGTAAAGTTACAATTGAACTCACAACAATTTTTCTAATTAGTAACGTGATGTTCTAGTCCGTAAAACCCACAACCCGAACCGCCCAACCCGCAACCCGATTGACCCGCACCCGATTGACCCGCACCCGATTGGCCTGCAACCCGATTGGCCCGCAACCCGATTGACCCGCAACCCGATTGACCCGCAACCCGAGTGACCCGTAACCCGATCAACCCGAACCCGATGAACCCGCAACCCGATCGACCCGCAACCTGACCAACTCACAACCCGAATGAACCCAACCCGAACCCGCCCGATTGACACCTCTAGATGTAACGAACTGTCCTTGATTCCAAAATAATAGAAGTCATAGGAATCAATCGGAGTGACCAAGTTGTATTACAGAGAGAAGTTGAAAGTGTGTTTTATCATTTATGTATAGAATAATCACAACCCACCACCAATAAGCCCAACCCAACGAAAAAGAACCCAAAAACAAGCCCACGAGCCCATCTATTTTATGTGTAGGATCCATTTATTCCCACCTGTACGCTGTACCCCACTGCCTATTTCCCACAAAGCCCTACCAAACTCCATAATATTATATTATTCCTCTTCCAATTCTCACCTCTGTAGAAGACAAGAAACCTGAAGCTGAAATTGTAAGGCGTGACCTGAACCAAATGTGACAATGGCTCGCTCTCTCCCCTTTCTCCCCACGCACCTCACAGCTTCATCCCTGAGCCCATCGGGCAGCTGCAGGCAGACCCAGTCCAGCAACGAGCCCATGTCCTTGGCATAGTCCAGCAGATACCAGCCCAGTAGCTTTGGTATCATCAGCTTCCTGTCTCGTCTTCGACATCCCAACTGCTGCCCACAGGTAGTCTCTCTCTGCTGCCTCTAGCTCTTCTTCCACTCCTGTTGCTGTGTATACCCGCACCTGCAATTGTTTATGGTATTACCATGAATTAGCTAGTCTGCCTGTTTTTCTTACTCTTAAAGAAAGTGATCAGAAAAGGTACTTACAGCAGGGGAGGACCAGCTTCCACAGGAGAGTGCAAAGGTGACCAAAGGTTCTGACCACTCTAACCCGAAGCTGTTGCGCGCCTTCATCTCGTCGCTGTTGTTCTTCGACGCCTTTTCGCATGTCTACATTGGCAGATCAGTTGATTGGTAAATGACACTCCTTTGAACCGGATATTAATTATAAGAACTCTTAAGTAGACTTACGAATTTCAAGTGGTAAGGAAGCCGCAGTATGAAATGTTCAATTGTGATGGCATTCAGCAGGCGACCCCCCTACAGTTATCGTTGCCTGCGATTCGCCATAATTAATCACCATCTTTGAGATCAAATCCACTTTGTTGAACATGATCAAAGATTAGGGAAAACTGATGTAGATAGTTACCTTTTGCATTAGTGCCACAACCATTTCAGGCGTCTCGGGCACCCCATGCTCCAAAACGGCCTGCAAAGTGCAGAGCAGAAGAGTTCTAAGTAAAGAACAAGAAACTTATTCGCCATGTGTTGATAATTAGTATCCTAAGATGGGAATAAGAAGGACTCACGTTCATCATACAAGAGTTGTATATGTTTATCCAGAAAGCAAGCTTTTGCTGGTGAGTAAGCCCTTCCAAATTCACACTGCCAAGTTTCTTTATCAGAAACCTGAAAAGCAAGCAAGCATTGATCATGTCTCTGAACAATCATTCAAGTCAATGAATTCTTTCCCAATCTGGTTAACATGCTGAATGGTGTCTATGTCACTGGCAAGGGGATCCCAGCTATTGAATGTTATGAGGTGACATTTTTGTAAATATTGCAAATGTGACATCCAACTGCCTGCATTCAGCATGTCAGCAAAATTTGACTGGATTTTAACATAAACAAAAGATGGATTTACGACGAGAGATATACTTTAGCCTATGTAACAAGAACACAACGGTTGTTACCCGGTTGAGGTCGATCGAGCTGGCTTCAATTGCACACATATCTCTGTATGGACCAACAGTGTTGTTATCTCTACTACTTTCACCGTGGTAATAAGCGTACCAACCACACTCACTTTCTAGGGTGGTGACCATATCTGCCGCTGCCTTGTCTTTCGATGTTCTCATCCTCATGAAAATGGTGGATAGGCACTTCACCATATCCTCAGATAGCTTGTTAGCTTCAAGAACTTCATCCGAGCAACCCGATGATGATGTTGCTTCTTCTTCTGCTAACCTGCATTCCACCTTATGCAAACAAAACAGAACTTAGAATGAGCCATGAACAAGGACCAGGGGTTTGTTTGTTTCGGCTAAAACAAACACAAGCAATATATATGCCTACCGTTGACTTTGAGGGAACAACTGAGCATTTATCTTCTGATAGCCGTCTGTTATCAAACAGTCTCTTACGCGGGGTTGCAACCTTGCCATTTCTCTTCTCAGGAGATTGCTTCTCTTTCAACGAATTACTCCACGAACGATTCTCCTTCCCTATCTCATTATATGGAGTGGAAGAAATCACCTTGTTTGAGCCTTGACCTTTATGTCTAGATTGACCACTTATTATTGGACTCTCACTTGGCAAGAGCTTTCTGCTTGATGTACTTCTTGCAAGAGAAGGCTGCTGCTGCTGTCTGGCTGCTGATCCAAATGGCGATGAACTGATGAGCTCGTTGGTCGACGAGACTGACTTTGATCTCGAATGCCTAGCTGGTGTTCTCGTACTAGACGAAGAACAGCAAGGTTGTTGTTGTTGTTCAGAAGCTCCATCATTAGTAGAGTTTTTAGAGCAGTTGTTGTTGTAGACAGCTTCTTGGTAGAGGCCTTGTCTAAAGTTCACAACTTGCTCTTCTAACCTAATTACTTCTTCTTCTAGTACAGCCACTTCCGCAAGCAACTCCAATGTCTGAAAAGAAAAAAGAAAAACCAATGTTTGATCTCAGCTGCAATTTTCTAAAGAGACATTTTGGAAGGAAAGAGTTGAGTCTACTGACATAAGGAGGGAGATAAGGAGGCAAGCGAGGGAGAGCTCCAAGAGGTCTAGTGAAAGCTCTCTCTAATGCTTTATGTACATTCTCTTCGTGTCTAAGCTTCTTCTTCAACTTATCAACCTGCAAAAAAGAAAGGGTAATCAAATTGGAGAACCCTTAACGTTGAGAACTGAATTTCGAAATTGCAAGTTTGGAATTTGATTCCATTTCTTTTTCACTTACATCTTGTAGCAATGCCAATTTCCTTTCTTTGTTCAATTTACGCCTGTTGGTAATGGCTGCAGATTTTAGGGCAGCAATTGCTCTTATTCCTCCACCATGCCTCTGCATTTTCTCCTTCTGTGCCAATTTTCAACATGAGAGTCAGTAACTCTGATTATATGGGAATGAAGGATGAAATCCAGGGAGGAATTACAGAGAAGTGATATTCTTTCCTTGAGAAGGGTGGAAAAAGGAAGAAGGAAACCCCAATGGAGGTTTGGATCTAAAGCTCAATCCTTTTTCAGGTTTTAAAGTAAAAGGAACCATTCCCTTCAGTACTTCACTCTTTATCAAAAGTGGGCATGAACTAAAAACAGAGGAACCCATCTTACAAAAGTTTCCCAGAAACCAATCAATCACTTAGCAAATGGAAAACAGAGCAAGATTAGAATGGCACGGAAAGAAAAGTTGACAATGGAACAGAGCAAAACACAGCACATTGCTTACTTTGTGGTTATTGTTATGATTGTTGGTATTATCAGGGTTCAATGGAGCTTTCAAGCCCTGAAGTGCAGAGCGAACTCTAGTGTTCATCATCGTCTCCTTCCTTCCTTCTCCAGTTGATCAATCCAAATTTTTGAATCAATTACACTTATTACAGAAACCCTGGTATCGGGAAACGGGATCAAGAGTAAGAAATGACAGTGGTTTCTAATTATTAGAAGAAAACAAAAATGGCGAGGGAAGTGAAGAGAAGGACAAAGGAAGGCAGCAGAGCAGCAGCAGGAGAGAAAAGGGAAAAGAGATTGGCGGTAGTAAGTAACCTCGGTATTTACAAAGAGCGGGAAATTTATAGAACCCCGAAAAAATGATTTAATGAATAAAAAAGGAAAAACCACCACCGCAGAAACAAATGGCTTTCAAGTTCCTCCACCTCCGGCAGCCAGCCAACGAGGTCTGTATTGCTCTTAGTCTTAGTTTATTCAAACTCCATTACTTTACGGTTGAAAGTGAACCAATGGAAGAAGAAGAGGAAGAAGGAGATAGAGAAAGGATCTTTCATTGTTAAACAAATGGAAAAGAATCTCGAGCTGCGTGAAGAGTGAAGAGACAAGCTTAAGAAGAAAGCAAAATAAAAATTAAAAATGGAGGCGAAACAGAGTGTGAAGAGTGAGACAGAGACAGCAGCGAAAAGGGAGAAAACGACGAGGAATCGAGGGTAGAGGAAGGCAAATAGAGTAATGAGAGTTGATTACAATACAAACAATGGAATCATACATAGAAATCAATGGAACTCGCTGGCTTTCCCCTTTCTCTGTTTCACTGGGTTTTGTTCTTTGCCCCGTGGGAGTAAAACAGAGAGATGCCAAACTTACTTGAAAATGGTAATTGTGGGAGGGCTGTACTGGGTTTTTGGAATAGTTTGATGGGTCAAATGGGAATCTCTGTAAGGGAAGCTTTCGCGTTATTAGCTTATTTCATGGCTTGTTTCTGTGAATCAGCTAGCTATCAGAAGGAAAGGAAGAAATGGATAATGGGAGAGAAAGGGGAAAGAAGAGTAGATCAAAAAGTGGAAGTTGTGTGATAGTTGTGAATTGTGATGGTGATGATGGAGGGAAGGAGGAAGGGAAAACGGCCACCAGCTTCAATTAACATGAAGGTGTGTAGGGCTGTTAATGAACCAAGCCGCTCATGAATGGTTCGGTGAGCGATTCGAGAAAAACTCGTTCGACACTCGATTCGTTTTAATCGAGCCGGCTCGCGAACAAACTCATTAACTAAACGAGCCGAACTCAAACCATACCATGTTCAGCTCGAAAACTCGCGAACAAACTTATTTAATGGTTTGGCATAAAAAAAGAATTAGAATTCATGGATTTTATGTATTGAAATTGGGATAAATATTGTGTTTTACTTTGCTATAGGTTTGAATATAATTTTGTGCGCAGTTCTAGGTAAATCTTGAGCTATCATGAACATTTTATGAGCCGAACTCGATTTTGGGTTCGTTAAACTTACTTGACGAGCCGAGCTCGAGTCGAGCTCGAGCTTTCATTTTCGTAAACGAGCCGAGCTCGAACTTGCATATTAAAGCTCGTGACGAACACGAGCCGAGCTCGAACTTGGAAATATATTAACGAGCCGAGCCCGAACTATGGCAAAGCTCGGCTCATTAACAGCCCTAAAGGTGTGTAACAGATAGCACTCTGCCTACATTGGCCACGTTGAGATAGATTGAAGATAGATATTCCCAATAATATTTTTCTTAAGGATACGAAGTTACACATTTTAACTTCAAATTAGCTTTGTTCTTCAAAAAAATTTCATGTACTTTAATAATAGAAGAAAAAAATTCATAATTTAATTTTCGCGAAACACTTTTCTGGAGGCCGATGTTAACACGATGCTAGGCCCAGAAGGAGCACGAGGTGTCTTCGTTGTTGAGCCCCAACCAAGTTCCACTAATGCTCCTCCTATGTCAGCTTGGACGAAGAAATCAAAAGACTTATTTAGCGACACCCTTTTGAAGAACTCCTAGTATGTTGAAGAGTCTGATTCCGAAAACGTCACCGAGGCAATGCGTGAGGATGAAAGGGACGACAAGGTGCCTAAGGAGATGATCCTATTTGCCCATGATCCCTTTTAACTCGACAGAAAAACAAAGCTTTCGGTGGAGTTCACCCTTATTGTCAAGGTTCTTGGTTGAACCTACCTGTTCCTAGTAATCTTTTTGGTACTTGGAAACACTCTGGGCCAAGCATGGCACAATCTACGCTCTTTTGGGCAAGTTTACTTAACCTATCGCTGGATTTTTTGGACGTCTGGTGCGGGTAGATCATGCTACAAAAACACGTGAGAGAACGCAATTTGCTAACGTTTGCATCGAAGTTGATTTGTTGTTGCCTTTGCACTCGCAATAAAAGCTTAAAGGCGGTACATATTATATCGGGTATGGAGGACTTTATATTATATGTTAGAGTGTAAGAAGTATGGCCATATGAAGGTCGGGTGTCCGAACTTTTCAAACCATCATCGTGGACGTCTCCAAATGCTGCTCCCATGCCTGAGTTTTCCACGGCTGAGGCTTCAATCAGAGATGGGATGCACGGTGAGTGGATGATTGTGAAATCGAAGATGCGAAGGAAATCTAATCCTCGTGTCCAAGAGGATTCGCATGTCAAAGCTTCACAACCGAAGGAAATGCACATGTTGCGTCGTCCCAACCAGATAGGATCAAAATTAGGGGTGGCAGTCGGTCGGTTTCGGTTTAACCGAAAACCGAAATCCCGGTTATCGGTTAAACCGAGCCACCCTGCATACCTGCCGACAACCGACCGTGAGAATGGTCACGGTTAGCCGGCCAACCGACCGGTCGGTTTCGGTTTTAGGCTGGTTAACCGACCAACCGGAAAATACCCTTTATTAAAAAAAAAAAATTAAAAGCAATAAATTTCTGAACCACTCACTCCTCACCCTCTCACTTCTCGATTCTCGATTCTTCTTTCTTCCTATCCACTTTCCAGAGCAACCGCCGACCGCCCTCTCACCATTCTTCTTCTTCCTTTCACCATCTCGATTCCGATTCTTCTTCTTCCTTTCACCATCTCGATTCTTCTTCTTCTTTTCTTTCGCCCCATCACCAAACCAATTGAAACAAGGAAGGAGAAAGAAAGAAAGAAAGAAAAGGAAGTTAACGATCACGCAATCCCCGTCGATGGATTTAGACATGCAATCCATGGCGGCGGCGATCGGGGTCTTCGTCCCCGTTCTCCGCTTCCTGCTCTGCTTCGCGGCGACTATTCCGGTGAGTTTCTTCCACCGGGTTGTCCCCGGTTCGCTGCCCAAACACATGTACGCCGCACTCTCAGGGGCTATTCTGTTCTGCGACGGTGGGAGAAAGGTGTAGTCGGTCGCTCGGTGTGGAGGGGTAGCGCAATTGGAGGCGGGCGGCGACGGCGATTGGAGGCGGGCGGCGAGGCGGAGTTGCGGCGACGGCGATTGGAGTTGGGAGCAGGTGGATTGGAGGGAGGCGGCTGGAGATTTGGGAGATGGGACGGTGATGTTGGAATTCTGGGGAAGTGGGTTCGAGAATTTATATGGAGAATGGTTGGAAGATTGGGTAGTGGAGCGTTGGTGCGGGTTTCCTTTGACGGTCGGATTTTGTTCTTTTACCAGGAGATATGGTGGAATGGAATCCAATGGCGTAATGGGAGGGTGGAGGGAGGAAGGGGAAGGGGTTGGGGAAGGGAAGGTTGACTGCGAGGGGAGGGAGGAAGGAGGAAGGGGGAAGGGGAAGGGGAAGGGGAAGGGGTTGGGGAGGGGAAGGTTGACTGCGAGGGTGGAGGGAGGAAGGGGAAGGGGTTGGGGAGCTAGGGTTAGTGGGAAATGGGACTGGGGTCGGTTAGCCGGTTAACCGCCGGTTTTCGACCCCGGTTAGTCGGCTAGACGAACCCCTACCCTTCTCCACCGCCAACCGACCGTTGTCATTGGAGTCGGTTTTTCGGTTAGCCGAAAACCGGTCGGTTCGGTTGAAACCGACCGGTTAGCCGCTAACCGGAAAACCGTCTGCCAGCCCTAATCAAAATAATGCAATTGGAACCTAATCCTATAATCTCTATGACGGACTCAACCTTGCAGGGTACTCTCCATGTTGATATGACTTGAACTGGACTATCTGGCTATGACCAGAATTCACGGGGTCTCGTTGTTAGTGAAACTAACTCTCCCTTACCTGTGGACTAGCAAGCACACAGCGTGTTAGTGAACCACGTAAATCCGTGTGTCTGTGTCCGTTTATTGCTTTCATTTATCTTGCTCTGTCGATCCTCCAATTTTTCGATCCATAGAAACAATCATGACACTCCCCCATGTGTCGCACCCACTAGTGAGCAAGAGAGATTGGCGAATGTCCTTACCTGTGGACTAGCAAGCACACAGCGTGTTAGTGAACCACGTAAATCAGTGTGTCTATGTCCGTTTATTGCTTTTCATTTATCTTGCTTTGTCGATCTTCCAATTTTTCGATCCATAGAAACAATCGTGATGCTCCCCCATGTGCCGCACCCACTAGTGAGCAAGAGAGATTGGCGAATGTCCTTATATGACAAATTCAGCCTGGTGATATAGGGACTGTGACTCATGTGTTGAATCGTAATTCCATTCCATTCCATTCCATATCCATATGGTGGTAGTTAAGGAGCAAAGGGTAAGAAAGACAGGAAGAAAGAACACCTCAGAGGCTCCCAAAACAAGAAAGGATGTGCTAGCGTAGCTTCCCAATGGTCAGCCATGTACGAGCGCTTCTCAGCAGAAAAAGTACCTCGGAGCCAGGAAGTCAACCTAGCATGGGGTGCCAGTAACCAACCTAGACGTTCCATTTACAGTACTTCATTATTGGCTCTTGTATGTTGCATGGAATCTCCTAACCCTGATTGGTAATGAAGATTGAGATACACTGCACAAAATTTCAGATGACATTTATTATGAAATATGGAAAACATAAGGATGTGAATTATTCCTATATGGCAATCAAATGTTTAATTCGAAAAAACTTCGAGTGACGTGGCCTCTTAAGAAATGTATAATAAAAACATTTTGCTCCTCCAACAATTTACTATTCTAATCTCCATACAAGAATTTTGTGCAAAATCACCCAATTAGGTTGTCTTGGAACGATCACTAATGCATAGTAATCTTTTATATGCTTTTTCAAATTCCCTGGTGTGGCAACCAAGATGTTCAGATTGCAAGACATATGGCCCAAGATGTTATATCCTTGGCATCTTCTTTTCCTAGTCAAGCCTCTTAGAGATCTTACATATTCCTTGATGTACAACCTTTTATCTAAAATAACTTACAAGGCTCATTCCATTGTTATCATAATCTTATGTGATATACGTCGAGGATCTAACTAATGCAATTAAGCAATCATAATACATAACAAATAACAATTAGCAAAACAAAGAGCAAAATCCAGAAACCAACACAAAGCTAATCACAACTGAGCAAAGGGCTAAGTATACGAAATGACTCTACTACTGACTTGTTAAACTAGATGATTAAGTCCATTTCTTGTGGGAGGTTCGATTCCACGAACGGACTAAGAATAATATAAGAGTTTCAAGAATGAGCATTCAAAATATGAATTTTCTATTGATTAAAAGTTGTGTCACTCGTAGGAAAAACATTTATTTATAAAGGTTACAAAATAAGATATATAAACTTATTTAAGTTTAAAATAAACTCCTCCCAACTATAGAAATAAAAAGGACTAATATTCTCTACATAATATACATATTTTGTTTCATGAAGATAGCTAAATATTTGTATTTCCTCTTCTTGGTTACCAAGCGATCATTCTCCTTCCTAAACTGGATCTATTTCCCTTCGTTTGCAATTTGGACGACTTGGGGTGCAAAACTTTCCTTTGATGATTTGTAGGTTGAATTTGGATGTCCTTTGGGCTTCTTACAAAACAAATAATATGCTAGACTTTGTTTGGCTTGATGGTGCACTTAGTCGCACTCAGCTCTATTTCTTGTTCCTCTTTCTCATATTGGATGTGAACTATGTTGACCTCTTGGTCCATGAACGAATTAGACTCCAAAGCTTGGTAGTACTCAGACTGTAATTGGGTTTTGAATCCTTTAGTATGACTTTGAGTAATTAGACGTTTCTTTTGAGCAAATATCATCTCGTATCAATGTTGAAATTGCATTTGGGTTAAGCAATCTTGATAGCTTTGGTGTCGATATCCTCAACATTAAATTTTGTATTTATAATGACTAATGAGTCTATTAAACTTGTTAACTCATGTAATTTCCCAAAAAATTTCATCTTAAAAAAAAAACGAACAATAAACAAAAAAACTATAGATGGTATCATTTTCCATTGGGTTTTTCTCTTATCTTCTTTTTTATTTCCTCCACTTTGCCAACCTTTAAACATACCCAACCCAACGATCCAAATCATTAAAAAGAGCTCCAAATCAAGAATGAAACTGTCATCTTTAGTTATCTCTGGTAGCACATGCCACATATATAAAAGCTGAGTGTACTTTTAGTACAGCAACAGCCTTAATATGCCAGTCAAATGATTATAGCGGTATGGAACATACTGCTTTAGAAATGTTAATGCCAAACAATTAATTAAAACAATATACTGTAGTCTTTTTGTCTTGTCCATTTCTGCTTAATGAGTTACATCGGATGCCATGGACTGCTGAACTGTCATTGATTAATTAATTAACCAGGCCCAGCTCAGACCCTGTGCTGGTCAGACTCACAGCACAGGGCCTCCATTTTATGGGGCCTCTTAATAAATCTTGAGGCCCACTTCGATTGGGAAGCCCACATATATAATTCATGGGGGCAACAACTCTCGCCCACTTCGGCTGGCAAGGCGGAGGCCCACGTAGCAACTGCCATGGAAGGGAATCGAACCATTGACCTCCTTATAATTAAGGAGAAAATTAACCACTAAGATAGAGCTTCTTGATGTGTTACAACTAACAGTTAGTGTATTTAACGCCTCTCTTCTTCTCTTTCCCTAAAATTTCTCAACTTCCCAAAACCATCCAATGCCGAAAGATTAATTATTCGCACTCAATTCTAATTAACTCCTAATCTATGTCCATCCCTATTATCCAGCCTCCTAATCAACTTATTTTAAGTTCTAACCTTTTTTTCTTTCACTTTTGTAGGGAATTTAATATTGATTGAAAATTTGAAATCATTAATCTTTGATTATAATTTTTAATTATGTCAACCCAAAATTTTGAAAAGGTAGTTCTAAGCGTAAAAGAAAACAGAGAATTGAGGAGCGAGGATACTAGTAGTCGATCTTGATGGCAATTCGAAAATTAGAAGTGAGACTAAATCTTTGGCACAAATGAACTTGATGATATTGAGGTTATTGTTTCAATAGTTATTTTGTATGAAATATTGCACTCAACAAATTCGGTTAGTAAACATTTACAATGCAAATATATGCTTATTGATTATTCTATTTTATAAATAGATGGATTGATTTCATTTTTCAAAAGATATTGAGAAGATGAACGGGCTAATAGAGAATTTTATTTTAAATAATACTAGATGATTGTTACTTTTTGAACAATGATAGATAATGTTATTACTTTTATGTAATTATTTTCAAAACTTATCTAATTTTTATTTTTAATAATTTGCGAAGAAAAAATTTTTGGGACCATATTTTAAATTGTCGAACAGGACCTCTGAATATCATGGGACGACCCTGAATTAACTGTGAAATTAAAATATAATTATGTATAATTTATAGATGACCCAAGATGCACGCTGCCTGCATAGTTTTGTAGTCTTTCGTGCAAATCTTTGTGGCCCCTATGTTTTTTTTTTTTGTGCCACTTTAGCTGCATTGGCACTTCTGTGCTTTCTTTTTCTAACTCTGTTGCAGGCTTGCAGCCATTCATGTGGCAATTGGCATCATTATCTTAATTAGGGAATTGGGGTTTGCTTAAAAAGTGAACTTTAGAACAAGAACTCAAATTATAGTAAAAGGGGGAAAAGTGTTCTTAAAATGCATGGACTCGATGCTACTTTCAAATTAGTACATGCAATCACGTTAATCCCCATTCTTAGTGCTAGCTAGCCCCTTATGGACTCTGGTTTTTGGGTGGGTAAAAAGATATATTCATGGTAACTAGAACATGATTATGAATGTGAGCTTCGAAGTTCCAAAGTGGAATGACTTGTACAAAAGCAACCATGATAGATTTTGGAATATAAAAGCTAAGGTTTTGGCTTATGGAAGAGAGTGATATGATCCATAATTAACATTTTTCTCAACAACTTGAGTTATTTAAACCAACTGGTTTATGATATGTATGAGCATTGGTTTGGTCAAGCGGTCGTGTGTTCTGTACAA